GGTGTTCATGAAGGGCTTGTCCAAGGCCAAGGAGGGGGTGGTCGCCGCCGCCGAGAAGACCAAGCAGGGGGTGGCCGAGGCTGCCGAGAAGACCAAGGAGGGGGTCCTCTATGTCGGTAAGGGCCTGCCCCCTCCCCCCTCCCATATGTCCTTGCTTGTCCCTGCCTCTGCCCTTGCCTGTCCCTGCCTCTGCACATCCCCGGCTGCCTCCGCTGCTCCCGGCTCCCCTGCGCTCCCCCGTTTGCTCCCTGCCCCCTGCACTTGCACCCTCTGCCCTCATCCTGCACGCGGGGCAGGATGGGGACCCGCGGGCACRGCAAGGTTTGGAGCTTGGTACCGGGCTGGGCCCCTCTGTGTGGACACCCCCCCACCCAGCTCCCTGAGGTCTGACCTTGTGTGCCCTGCAGCTCCTTGCTGAGGATGCTCTGGGGACAAGCGCACAGGGGGACCAGAGGCCAAGCTCTGCTTTTAGTAGTTTCTCCACAGTACAGTGAGCACTRTGCTGAGATATACGCATCTTGAAGGAGCTGGGAATGTCTTTGTGCACCAGACCCCTCYGAGGGGCCTGGTACTGGACTAAATGTGCCATGATCCCTGCCYGGGCACCCAGAGCTCTGCCAGCCACCCCTCCGCACCTGGCAGCCCATTGGGGATGTTCCCTCCACGCTGCCCTCCATGGGCTCGGAGCCACTGGCTTGGCCTAGCCCTGCCACTTGTGACCGTTTCCTAGAAGGCACGGATGGAGAGAGGTTGCTCCCCAGCGGGCTGCACGGGCCCAGCCTGGCTGGGGAAAGCCCCAGCGCCTGCCTGTGGCTCGCAGCCAGCGGGAGGGAGCGGGAGGGCTGGCTGCTCCAGGCCAGCTCCGTCCCACAGGGCCCAGCCTGGCTGGAGGGCACGTGAGCTCTGCCACAGGGCTCGGACCCAGAGCCATTCCCGGGATACTAAGCCGCGGGGCCCAGCCTGGCAGCCCTGCAGAGCTGGGTGCAGGAGCGGTGCCCGTGGGGCTGGCCRGGAGCTGGACTTATCCTGCCAAGGGGGCTGTGCCCCAGAGGGGGTCCAGAAGCTCAAGCAGAGCCCCAGGAACCCCCTCCTGCAGGAGCTGCTCTGTCCGCTGCTCTCCCTGCCTTTCCCTGCTCCCATCCCCCCGGGCACCCTGAGCTGGGCCAGAGCAGCCAGCAGCAGGGCCCGGTGCCCAGGCTGCTCTGGCTGCAGCGCTGTCTGTGCTGTGCTGGCATCGCTCGGGGTATCGATCCCGGGGCCCAGAGGGGACCTTGCTCGGTGGTGCRCTGGTGCGTGCCCTGCCCATTGGCGTGACACCCGGTCCCCGAGGCCGCTGCYCTGCCGTGGAGCACGACGGTGCCACGGGCGGCCACGCGGCCCCAGAGCTGCTMCCCTGCCCTGGTCCTCCTTGCGGCCCCGACTCTGAGCTGGGGGCTTCCCATGGCCCTGAGGCTGCTGCTGCTGAGCAGCTGTGTCCGTGTGAGCCTTGCATGGAGCTCAGCACCCTGGCTGCACCAGCACAGTGCAGGGCCAATGCTCTGTGCGGGGGTGGGCAGGTTGCTGCCCTTGGTGTGGCACAGTCTGGCCAGGTCATGGGCACCAGCACGTTGCTCCAGTCCTTCTAATCTCTCTTTTTTTTTTCTTTCTACCTCCAGGGAGCAAAACCCAAGGCGTGGTGCAAGGCGTCACCTCAGGTACTGCTGCCCTCCAGCACCCTGGGACACCCCGCATGCCCAGGCCTGGGGTGGGCAGCTGCGCTAACGAGATCAGGGGCTAATTGAGGGGCTGTGATGTCACCCGGCTAAAGCCTCTTACATAACTGGGGCCGCAACAAAGGATTTGTGGCTGCTGCTCACACTCCGTGCCCAGCTGCAGAGCCGCATCCCAGCCCCCTCCCGCRGAGCAGCAGGAGGAGGGAATGGCCTCATCCCGCTCCGCTGCCCCCCRGCCGGCCCCAGGGCCCCCCTGTGCTGCAGTGGGACCCCCTGGCTGATGCTCTCGCATGCCGGCTCTTGCAGTGGCTGAGAAGGCGAAGGAGCAGGCGTCGCAGCTGGGCGAAGCGGCTTTCTCCGGCGCCGGCAACATTGCGGCTGCCACAGGGCTGGTCAAGAAGGAGGAGTTCCCTGCGGATCTGAAGGTGAGCAATCCGGATGGAGGGTGTCCCGGGCATCCCCGGGGGCTGTGCGGTGCCCGCGGGGCGGCTGGCGCGTCCCCAGGCGCGGCGGGGAGCGGTGCCGCGGGGCGGGATGCGCGCGTGCAGCCCCGCACGGAGAGGCCGCGGGCGGCGCGGGGGCCCCGCGCGCTGACCCGACAGCTGCGGGCGCCGAGCGAGGAGCGGGGAGGGGCGGCGGGTTCGCATCTCGCCGCCCCCACGAGCCGCTCGCTTCCAGCTTAGCCCAAAATAGCATCAGCCGGAGAAATGAGGCCACAGCAGGCGCTGCCGCTGCGTGGCGGTGGCATCGGCAGCCCTGCTTGCCGCTCACCAGGGCTTGGCCGGCCCCGGGGAGGGCTCACCCGGATCCACCCTCCTCTGCCTGGATGCTGGAGCCGCCCCCCRGCCCACCAGGGATGTAGAGGGTCTGCCAGCCCCTGGAGTGGCCCACGCGGGGCCGGCACGTGTCTGTGCCCAGGGAGCAGCACAAGGACAAGCATGCCCAGGCTCAGCTCCACCGGCACCCCCAGGGTCACCCCTCGGTGCCCTGCTGGCTCCCCGTGGCTGCTGCCCCCCAATGGGTGTCCCTTCTGTGCAGCCTCCAGGGCTGCCGGTCCCTGCTCGGTCCTCGGGGTCTGGCAGTGCCAGGGCACATGGGGGTGACGCGGGTGACACGTGGGGGACTGTGCGTGGGGCACTGAGCGCCTGGCTCTCTGCAGGCGGAGGAGGTGGCCCAGGAGGCTGGGGAAGAGCCGCTGGTCGAGCCGCTGCTGGAGCCAGAGGGAGAGAGCTACGAGGAGCCGCCGCAGGTGAGGGGACAGGGTGGCACCRCGCGAGCTGCCCGCGCCCTTCCTCCAGGCCCTCTCCCAAACTCTTCCTTCCCTGATCCCGCAGGAGGAGTACCAGGAATACGAGCCAGAGGCATAATGGAGCCCCATCCTCGCCTCTTCCACCAGCAGCACAACGAACCGCCGGGGGCCCCCTGCTCCTCCCCGCGCGCCRGCGAGGCCCAGCGGCGCCCCTGCCCCGTTCGCTCACGAGTTCTTCCTCCAGTTCCGTTCCAAGGGACCGTGTCCGTGTCTCCGTGTCGTGTCTAGCCGTGAGAAGCCCGTCGCGCCCGAGCCCCGGCGTGAGCCCGGGCCGTGGGCGCTGGCCGCGGGGCTCGGCGCGCCCACACGTGTGGCCGCAAGCCCGACTTCGTCGCCCGCCTCCCTCCCAGCGCCACGAGCCCCGGCCGCGTCCCGGTGCGTGTGTCTGTACAAAGCATGTTCACCCGCTCGCGGGCTGCTGTACATTCCGCTTGCACGCGTGTCCTTATAGTTCTGCTCCGGTAATTGTGGAACTTTTTTTTTTTGTCTGGTTTTTTTTTTCCTTTTTTTTCTTTTTTTTTTTTTTTTTTATACATATGTATCTATTTATGGGTGGACGGGTCTTTTGCCTTCGTGAGCCCTGGGTGCCTGGGTGCGCTCCCCCAGCCTGCTGGGCGGTGGCTGTGCCCGTGCCCCCCCGGATCCCATAGTGCCGACGCTGTGTTGTGATGTGGCATGGATATCCCACCCTGTCGCTCGATGTGCAATAGGAGCGCGGCCGCCGGCGACACGGCCGCCCCCCTGTCCGTGAATAAAGTCGACTCTCGTCTGTACCCCTTGCTCCTGGCTGCGGGCTCCCTGGGGACAGCGGGTGCCCTGGTGCAGCAACGTGTGGGAAGGAGATGAGGAATGGGGGATCTGGGGGACTGGTGTTTGTGGAGAGGAAATGTTCTCCTGGATGCTCCCAGGATGCGCGGGGCTCCARGGTGCTCCAGGTGCAGGATGTGTCCTGCTGCTTCCTGGACGGTCCTTCCTGCGCCATCCCCAGCACTACAGGCTGTGCTTGCAAACGGGGTGCTGGGCACCGCCGCAAGGGCCCTGCAGCCGCCCTAGAGCAGGACCCTCCCAACGCCCCCCGCTCAGCATGGGTCCCCGCCATCCTCCCGCTGCACCGTGGCCCAGGGCTGAGCCTGCCCCAACGTGGGTCCAACTAAATCCACCTCCCACACCGGCTCACCAGCCTCGTCGGCAAGGAGCAAAGCTGCAGCCGTCAGCACGGGCGCACCGGGGCTGCTGACGCCCGCAAATCCCGGCCACGGCTCTGCCGCCCATTGCAGCAGCTCCTGCAGGGCCCTGTGTGAAACGGGGCCAAGCTGGGCTCCCCTAAACGGCAGCACGGTAGGGAGGAGCAGGGTGAGGGACAGCAAACGCTTCCAGATCCTCCCTCAAGGACATGGGCATGAAGGACGTGGGCGGTAGGTGATGGCACCATGGACTCTACAAGTCACTGCAGGAAACCAGGTCGCCCTCCCCTGACCCCGCTGCACTGGGTTGATTTTATTCACCAGAGGAAGATCTTTATGATAATAAYATCCAGCTTTAACTGGTGCAATTGTTATAGGGGTTTGGCTTATCAATTAGCAACCAGCAATTAGCACAACTAAATGGAGCACCCTGTTTGTCCCAGTGAGAAGCTGCAGTGTTWCTTCACCCTGAGCACACAGAGGCCTCTCAGCCTTGCAAAGAGTTGACAAACACTAACATATTTCTTCTCCCTGGATGTGCAGGAGACTCTCGGTCTTAAGGAGCTACCTTAGGTCAGCATCCCAGGTAAGGGGAGGGAAGGGACCATCGCAATCCAGCCGGAGGAGCAGGTCAGGTGCTGCTGCCCATCCCTGCTCAGCTCCTCAGTGCTGGACCCCGTGCTTAACACCACTAGGAGGAAGCTGAYGTGGCTGATCTGGTCATCCTTGTAAGGCCGTCCTTCCAGAACCTTCAATTCAGGGAGAATTTCAATTCTCCAGYGAGTTCTGCGAGTGTGTCAGTTCTCCAGCAACATTTAGCAAAGCGGGATGGCGCTGTCCCTGCAAGACGTCACCTCCCTGCCTTGCTTTTGTGGCAGAGCACACACAGCTTCCAGCTCGTGTCCCTGCCTCTCCTGTTGCGCCCAGCCCTGGAGCTGGAAGGAGAGCCCCTGGGAAGTGTTTGGGCAGGARCCTGGGACCTGGCGGGAGTGAGACCTTCTCAGGGGTACCACGCAGCACCTAGGTACAACCTGAGCAACCTCCCTTCACCTCACATGGGTGCAACCAGCTGCAGAGGCACCAGCAGAGGGAAGGGCTGTGCAGGTAGCTGGGCTCTTCCCTCAGGAACAGCTATCTTGCAGTTGCATGTCCCAGAGCATGTGGTGGCTTGTTACAGCTCCTAAAATCCAAGCCAGTTCCTCAGAGTGCAAAAACATCTCCCAAACCAAGCAAAATTATAAATACAAGGAGCCAAGGACTTCATCCTTCTCATCCTCTGCAACTCCAGCAAAGCAGAGGGACCTCGGGAAAGGATGAGCGAAGGTGGGATGATTCCTGGGGCACTGTGGGCACCAGCTCTGGGTGCACAGGTGGTGCCAAAGCCTCATTCCCCAGTGCAGAGAGCTGTGCTGGGCAGTGAGCGGGCAGAGGAAAGCACGGCCCAGCTGCAGAACACCAGGAGCAGCAGCAGGCACCCAGTGCCTGGCTTATTGCTCCCTCCAAAGAGAGGGAAATGCAGGGAATGCCACCCGCCAGGGGCTGCAATGCCCATGGTGGCTTGGAAACAGCCAGGGCAGCTGTTATCAAGGTGGAGAGCAGGAGATGCCGGAGATACAGCAGGGGGAAGCACTTCACCACGGTTGGGAGCAGATGCAGGCAGGAGACCCAGGCTGGAGCAGAGGGCAAGGGCAGGACCAGCACCCTGGGTGCCTCCTGAGCAATCTGCATCCACCCACATGTGCGGTGCAGTGCCAGCTGCTATGGTGTGTCCCTTTGCACCCACGGAGGCTGCTTTTGGACAAGGGCTGACTGTGAAAGCTCTCCTGGAAAACAGGCAGAAAGATCCCAAGGAAGCTAAGATTCCAGACCCACAGCCAGGCTGAACACTTGCCTGCAGCCCGAAGGTCTTGCCAGGAGCCCAGGCTCAGGCAGGTCCGTGCAGGGTGTGCTGGAGATGGAGCCCTCAGTGCCACCTGCCCCATGCAGCCACTGAAGGGCTTTGCTCTCATAGGCCCTGAGGGACCAGGCAGGCAAGAGCAAAAGTTAAAGCCTGACCTAGCACAAGGGGCCTGAGCTTACCCCAGAGCGTGGGTCGGCTATCGAGCACATTGCTCCTTTACTGCTACTGACATCCMGGGTCAGTGCATTGATCCCACACCTTGGAAAGGTGGCAAATCCATCAGGACCTCAATGCTTTGCTCAAGCCAATGAGACACATTGGGATAGGATATTTCCACAGACTGGTCATGCTCGAGATCACACCAACAAGCCCTTACCCAAAACATGGTGCCRAGCACAAAGCAGGGTCTCTCCAGCTTCTCTCAGGCTGGGGGGACCATTACCCCCAGCCTGAGCCATTAAAACCTTCTCCCCACTCTGGCATTAGCTGTGAGCAGCCTCCATTCCTGTGCTTCACATACAAAGGGAGGATGCCAAGGTTTTAGCATAAGACCTACCCAGAGAGACAAAACCTCCTCTTGCTGCAGCAGCATTAGCTTTTCTAGTCTGGAGTTATCTCCTGCTCATCAGCACCATGAGGGGCAGCACCTGTTTTCACTGAGGGGGCAGCACTGACTGCAATTTACTCCTTTTTACCCCACCAGTGGGATCTCTCCCTGTGTCTATTCCTGCAAGAGCAAAGTGGTTATTCCCAGGTTCCCTCCCTCGGGGCTGAAGAGTGCCAGGCCAGGCTGCCGTGGGGGTGCCTGCCCCCCGCCCCGTCCAGCTGAGCCCTGCAGCAGCCAAGGGCCAGGGCCTGCAGCTGCGGGAAGGGAACAGAGAGTCCACCTCCCCRCGGGGGCTGGGAACAGGCCGCTCTGGAGGGTGGCCTGGGCCCTCCGAGGGCGGCACCGGCTCTGCCCACTTGCAGAGCCCCTCGGGACGGGCTGCCCTCCCGCTGCTGCTTCCCTGCGACTGGGCGTGCGTTGGCCGCAGAGCTAACGGGGGAGTGAGGACGGTCAGAACTGGCTGACCGCAATTGGTCCTCATTCATTTGGGGCCCTATAATGAGTCTGATTTAGCAAATCTCCTTACCACCCTCCTCCCTCGCGCCCCATGAATCCCACGTGCTCTGGGTCTGTAACGACAGCTGGCCGTCCTGCTATGTCCTTGCAGCGTCTTGCCATGTCCCTTCCCAACCCTCCCGAGCAAGCAGCAAGTGCGGATCCCTCGCCTGGGGTCTAGCACCCACCGAGCTCTCTGCTGCACATGGGGCTGGCGGGAGCTCTGCACATCCCTGCACTGAGCAGCAGGAATGCAGAGCAATGCCCAGGGCAGCAGGAATGCGGGGTAATGCCCAGGGCAGCAGGAACACGGGGCAATGCCCAGGGCAGACCCAGTCACCACCAGGACCAGCCCCTGCTTCTCATGGACCTGCTGGGCACACAAGGGGCAGCCCCTGGGCCACGCTCTGCTCCCTGCCTTACAGAGCAGGGCTCAAACCTCTCTCACTCATCCCCCGCTCTTGGCCATTTCCACGGTAAAATGCCTTGATATTTTCTGCAGCTCGCGTGTCTGTGCGAGAACAGCAAAATGCAGTTGTTATTGCTCGCCCCCAGGAAACATCCCCAGGGCAGGGAGGGCCCTGGCAGCTGCTCTCACTTGTGCAGACGCAGCCCCMGCGATGTCCCCGAGGCTGTGACCCGGCCCCATGCACCCGGGCGTTAATCCCAGCAGCTGTGGGCCCTGGCTGCCTTGCAAAGGGAGCCCTTGGTCGCTCTGCTCGTGCCTGCTGGCACTGGCAGGAGTGTCCCCCCCGCCAGGCGCTCGGCCTGTGTCTGGCGRGGAGCGCTGAGCCGTGAACCCCATCTCGCCGCCCCTCGCTGCCTCCCCGGAGCTGCTTTTGGCAGGCGCGGGTGAGTGTTACTCGTTACACACGTCTCCTCCCCGCCTGTCGGAGCGCATCACGGTGACACGCGCCGAGGGGACGGGCTGTGCAAATGGAGCGTGAGCCGCAGGCCTGCAAGGGGAAGGCGGCGGAGCCCAACGCGCACTTCCCTGCCTCCATCCGCACGCCTTCCACGGTGCCACTGAAGGGGATGTCTCAGGGATTGCTGGCAGCGCTGCCGGGCACCCTGTCCTGCTCCCCTGCGCCCCGGGGAGAGGTGACCACCCTGCTCGCGGACCTGCTGCCCAACCCAGGCAAAGGGGCAGCCCCGGGAATGTGGGGTTCCCCCATGTTCCCCCTGGGAACGCTGGTTGCGCAGCCCCACSTGGCTCCCTGCGCAGGGGAAGCTGCCTGTGGGAACAGCGCCCGAGGCAGTGCAGGATGCGACCCTGCAAACGGCACCAGGCAGCGCCGGATCCATGACA